TCTAACTCAAAGAATATATCACATTTTAACCCCACAGAAATTTCATTTTAAGAACCCCCAAGAAAAAGTCTTCAACCAAGGGGTGTTGATATGAAATGGAATGGTCCTATGCTGACCACGGTAAATTCTTCTGGCAGGGTCTAGTTTCAGTGCATTTATTAAAATGTAGTAGGATTCCTACACCATTTTTGAAAATAAATTGAACTCAAAATTAACAAATCCTTATCACAAAAAGAAATAGGATCAAACACAACTTTAATAAGTTATTAAGCTTACTAGTAAAGCTTAACTTACTTAACGAGTTTGAATCTCCAATGATAATAAGCTTAAGCTTCGTACCAAAGAAAAAAAGCGATTTGTATAAGCACAAGAATAAAGCGCCTGTAACTTACATCAATGAAGTTAACTTAAAGTTTACTTTATATCGAAGCACATGTCCAAAGCGAGCAGAAGCACAAGCAAGACTTAAGACTTATTTTCCTACCTTGTCATCAGAAAAGCCCTTATTTTTGTGGCTAGTGCCTCGGAACGAGGCTCCTAGCCACAATGGTATCGCCCTTGAAAGTGGGTGGGTGGGTGGGTGGTAATGTAATTCGGGACAACTTCGTAATATTCTGACTTCCGTCCGATACTTGTCGTTCTGGGTGATGATTGGATTACGATGGAACGCCGGATCTATATCGATTACTTTCGCCGAAGCAAATACATGTGCTTTTCAGTGCAAGACGGGCTACTTCAAGCAAATCTATGTAAGGTGAGTTTTGCACATTTTTATCATGCTTTTAMACTATTATGCATCAAGAACCAGGCTCAGCTTTCGGTTCCTCTATGAAGTGTTTGTTTTTAAGAGTTTTTATAGGGTTATTGAGAGTTTAGGATGTTCATTTGTAAAGAAAACAAGCGAAGCGTGTAAACGTGTGCTGGTGTCTAGTCATGGCGACCGAGCGGTTTATCCCACGAAATCCTATCACCGTGTCCTCGAATTGGCGACCTGTACCTGTCATCAAAGTTTGTATTCCCATATGGGAACAATTGATCTCTTTAAAGAGAGCCAAAAATCCCATTTGGGAGTTATAATGCCCGTTCGCGGGTGCCAAACGAATTCCCTTCGGGGAGCAATAACAATGCCCGTTCTCGGGTGCAAAACAAATTCCCTTCGGGGAGCTATAATGCCCGTTCGCGGGCGCCAAACAAATTTCCTTCGTGTTCCAACGATAAACCGCTCATACCATGTGGACTCAGCTCTGTCAAGGGAAAGCATTACAAGCGCTTCAATTAAAGCTCTCATGAAAGTTGTGCCTGTTTCAAACAATTATAAGATAGACAATAACAATTCCAATATAGAGGAAGGGAAATGTAAAGAAAAAATCCAACATGCGTGTATCAAAAAGCACAGACATTCTAGACTGTGTTTTAAGTCATCTATTAATCGCAAAAGAGAAAGAGAACCATCCAGAATTAATATTAAAAAGGTCATGATTTTGTTCAAAAGTAGAAAATATCGATGCAAGTATAAGAAAATATTGAAAACAGCAGGTCCTACTTCATCAGTTTTGCATAAAATTGCCAAACATTTTAAGCACTGGAGATTAAAGTATATTTACAGACAAGACAGTTTCTATTCTTGCTATTTCATGAAAACTAGAATTTCTCTTACAATGTATAATATATCTAGACAAAAGCTATTATTGTCAGGGGRTGTTGAATTGAATCCAGGGCCTGTTATGGGAAATGTTATTCAAAGCATTTCATTTGATAACCGGGATTTTGTATTGCACTATAGAATGCTCAGGTATGGATTACAACCATTAGATGTTGGAGGAGGAGGAGATTGTTTGTTTAAATCAATTTCTCATCAATTATATGGTGATTCAAGTAATCACTTAAAAATCAGAGCTTTAGGAGTAAGATATTTGACTGACAATCCTGAACGATTTATCGAAAGTGTGCAAGACACACCATGGACTCAGTATTTATCGGATATGTCTATGCAAGGCACATGGGCTGATAACATTATTATACAAGCTGTTGCTGATTCAATGAATTTAAAGATTCATATCATAGAATCCAGTCAAAATTTCAGGGAAATGACCTTAATTGAGCCAGCACATAGTGATTTATTAGAAAACAGGAGATCGATATATATTGGTCATATAGGTGAAACACATTATGTTTCAACATGTTCAGTTGGCAATAGAATTGAAATTAATGACAACAGCAACCTACCAACCAGCCAAAAGTCAAACGATACCATTAGGCAAGAAAAGGCTGCATATATGAAACAATATAGAAAGTCTACTGATTCTCCTGAGAAGAAAGCTAAAATTAATGAGTGTCAAAAAAATCGCAAAAGAAATTTAGTATCTCCAGAGCAAAAAGCGAAGAAAAATGAATATGAACGAAATCGTAGAGCAAGTCTAGCATCGCCAGAGAAAAGAGCTAAGAAAAATGAATATGAACGAAACCGTAGAGCAAATTTAGTATCTCCAAAGCAAAAAGCCAAGAAAAGTGAATATGAACGAAATCGTAGAGCAAGTCTAGCATCGCCAGAGAAAAGAGCTAAGAAAAATGAATATGAACAAAATCGTAGAGGAAATTTAGTATCTCCAGAGATGAAAGCTAAGAAAAATGAATATGAACGAAACCGTAGAGCAAATTTAGTATCTCGAGAGAAAAAAGCTAGGAATAATGAATATCAAACGACTTACAGAGCATCAAATAAGAATATATCTATCAATTTTTCAATTAAAAGATTCCATGAAATAGTGAAGCAAGGTCCAGTGTACATATGTACTTGTTGTGACCAGTTGTGGTATAGACATAGTGTTGTTAAAACAGACAAACTTAGACAATCCAATCCTGATATCACAAAGTATTTGTGTGATAAAAGCAGTGTTGATAACAAAGAGTGGATCTGTAACACTTGCAAGAATCATTTGATGAAAAACAAGGTTCCACCATGTGCTATAGCTAATGGTATGTCTTTTCCAGTAAAACCAGATTTCTTTGACTTGAATGAATTAGAATGTCGATTACTTGCACCAAGGATTGCATTTCAAAAGCYAATGCAAGCTCCTAGAGGTAGACAGCTAAAAATTCATGGCAATATTGTAAATGTACCTGCTGATGTGACTCATACAGTAAGCATGTTACCACGGTTACAAAGCCAGACTGCTACTATCAAAGTAAATTTAAAGAGAAAACTGCAGTTTAAAAGTTCAGCACTATCTTTAAATATAAGACCGCACAAAGTCATCCAAGCAGCAAAATGGTTATTGACTAATAGCACTTTATACAGAGATGAAGGGATAGTATTTGATAGTGATTGGTTTAACAAATACAGTATTGAAGCTGCATGTGATAATACTGACAATGATGATAACTTTCAATTACAATCAGATGAAAGTAATGTCACTAATGATATCACTGGTGAAAACCTAGATGATAATGATAATGAAGACCAAGCTGAATTACCTGCTGGTGTAACTGATACTTTGTTCACTGCAACAGACTTTTTAGAAGATAATGAACGGCAAAATATTCTTAATGTTGCTCCTGCTGAAGGTAATAGACCATTGAGTGTTTTTAGAGATAAGTACTGTGAGGAGTTAGCATATCCTGGAATATTTCTTGGACAAGCACGACCAGAAATCAAACAGAGAAAAGTCAAAGTTACTTATAGTGATATTTGCAAATCAGAATTAAGACGATCAGATAGACGAGCTGCCATGTGCATTGAAAATATTTTCTATAAAACAAAGAAGCTGCAAATGAAAATCCTTTTAGGAAAGTCACATATTGCTCTTAGAAAATGCAAAGGAAATAATAAAAATATTAATGCAGGACAATTAAAACACCAAGGAGCTTTAGACAAATTAATCCGTCATGATGAAGGGTATAAATTTCTTAATGCATTGAGAGGTTCACCTCCATATTTTGAAAAGGCTAAAAGGGATTTATTTGCCATGATAAGACAGCTAGGTCCTGCTACATTGTTTTGTAGTTTCTCATCAGCTGAAACTCAGTGGTTACATTTACTTAGAATCCTTGGAGAACTAGTTGATAAGAAGCAATATACTGATGAACAAATAGAGAATTTTAATTGGGAGGATAGATGCCGATTAATTCAAAGTGACCCTGTAACATGTGCTAGGCATTTTGACTTTCAGGTAAATCAATTTCTGACAAACTTTCTATTGAGTTCTGCTGAACCTTTAGGTAAAATATCTGACTGGTTTTATAGAGTTGAATATCAACAAAGAGGATCACCTCATATACATATGTTGATATGGCTTGAAGGAGCTCCACAGTTTCAAGTTGATAGTGATGAGGAAGTCACAGCATTCATTGATAAAATCATCTCCTGTCATAAACCAGTAGATAATCCAGAATTATTGAATCTTGTCAATAGACAGATACATAGACATTCACATACATGTCGTAAAAATACAACCAGTCCTTGTAGATTCAATTATCCACAACCTCCAATGACGCAAACAATGATAATTAATCCGCTGGACAAAGAAACACCAGATACTGAAACCAAAATGCATAAAAGTAATTGGAAGTCTATTAAAAGCTATTTGAATGACCTCAAGGAAGATGAAGATATGTCAGTTGATCAGTTGTTGGTTAATTTGAACATTACAGAAGAAAACTATTTACTTGCTATTAGCTCCTCTTTAAATACTCCTACAGTGTTTTTAAAAAGAAACCCTAATGAAGTCCGTATAAACAATTATAATCCGGCGTGTCTTACTGCATGGAGAGCTAACATGGACATACAGTTTGTATTAGATGTGTATGCATGTGCAGTATATATAGTGAATTACATATCAAAAGGTCAAAAAGGTATGAGTGAACTATTGAGACAAGCATGTACTGAAGCTAGACAGGGAAATCATAACATAAAACAGCAGGTTAGAGATATTGGAAGTAAGTTCCTCAATAATGTTGAAATAAGTGCACAAGAAGCAGTATATATTGTCTTACAATTACCTATGAGGAAAGCATCCAGGCAAATCATATTTATAAATACTTCACCTCCTGATGAAAGGGTGGAGCTTTTAAAACCAATGGATGATATTAAAAATATGGAGGATGACAATGAAGAAATCTATACTAGTGGTTTGCTTAAAAGATATTGTAAACGTCCAAAAAAACATGAAGATTTGACACTCGCAGATTGGGCTGCATGGTATGATAATTCTAATATGAAACCATATGTAAAAGAAACAAATGAAGTGGACATTGATGGCCTTCCCTTGGAAAACTTTATTGATGATAATCAAAATGAGGATGATGATGGATGCTCAAATACATCAAATTCTAAGACTAATAAAAAAAGAACTAAAGCTCGGATAATAAGAAGTGTATGGTTTAATGTGCAAACTGAACCAGAAAAACATTATCGTGAGCTCTTAATGCTTTTTACACCATGGAGAAATGAAGAGACTGACTTACTAGGACATTTTTCATCATATCAAGACCGATGTATATCAGTCTCTAATATGATCAAAGAACAAATGAAGCAATATGCTGTTTGTAATGAAGATTTTAATGAAATACAGCAGGATATGAGTAGAATAGAGGATAGGTATGATGAAATAGCACCTAATACACAGAGTATTGAACAACAGGATCAAGCTAAAGGTGATCAGGACTTACATCCTGATTTTTCAGGGAACTATAATTTATCAGATGATTTAGGCATACCATCAGTTGATAATACTGAACCACTCACAATGAATGAACTCCCAGATGATGAATATAGACATATGGTTCAGACATTGAATAAGGAGCAGAAGGAGTTTTTCTATCATGTATTGCATTTAATAAAAACATCTGAGGAAGCATTTTATTGTTTTCTAAGTGGTGGTGCAGGTGTAGGTAAATCACATGTTACTAAAGCCTTGTATCAAGCTGCTTTGAAATATTATAACACCAGACCAGGTATTAACTTTAATGAATTAAAAGTATTGATGCTAGCACCTACTGGTAAAGCAGCATATAACATTAAGGGAAATACTATTCATAGTGCTCTATCAATACCAGCATGTCAATCATTAAGGAGATATAAAAGTCTTGATTCAAGCAGAATGAACACAATAAGATGTCAGCTTGGTGGGATTAAACTTATATTCATTGATGAAATATCAATGGTAGGGAATACAATGTTCACTGTCCAAATATATAATAGACTAAAAGATATCAAAGGAAGCTCGCTACCATTTGGTGGTGTTAGTATTGTTGCTATAGGAGATTTATTCCAACTACAAGTCAGGTCAGACGATGAGTCTGCTACTGGTAACATTGTAACCCAGTACAACCTGCCTCATGGACGGGTCGTCGGCGTCTAAACCGGCTCCCCCACCAGTCTAACTGGTGAGGAGGGTGGCATGTACACCCAGCAGGACTAAAAACAAGACCTGTCAAAGGGCGAATGAGCTCATCTGAGCCACCGGCCATCATGCATGCTTCTTTATTCCTTGTATGTATTTTTTGTAGTGTCATTTATATTTTAATTTTTATTGTTGTAATTTTTAAGTTTGATATCTTGGGACGGACTAAGAGCGGCAGCCATGAGGCGCCATCTTAAGCTCGCAGTCTACCATGACTCTGTCATTGTAATTGTTTGTAATTTGAAAGCGCTTAGAGCAGATTTGTATAAGCGCTGTATAAAATAAAATTATTATTATTATTATTATTATT